AGAGGGAACCTTGGAAAAAGCGTCAATATGTGACGAGATGGGAGTGAGAATGTGTAGAATAAACACACCGCCTGGCCAAAAAAAGGTCACACACTCTCTTATTTCGTTGGACTGCCTTTAGCTTTGATTACTGTACACATTTACTGTGGCATTGTTTCAATAAATTTCTGCAAAGTCACAGTTTTATTTCCATCCAGTGTTGCATTAATTCTTCACCAAGATCTTGCTTTGGTGATGGTATAGTCTTACTGCTGCACAAAGCCTTCTCCAGCACATTCCAGAGATTCTCAATGGACTCTGTGGAGCCAATATATGTGTGAAAATGATATCTGCTCCCTGAACAACTCTTTCACAATTCCAGCTCCATGAATCCTGGCACTGTCATCTTGGAATATGCCCGTGCCGTCAGGGAAGAGACAATCCATTGATGGAATGACCTGGTCATTCAGTATATTCAGGTAGTCAGCTGACCTCATTCTTTGAGCACAAACTGTTGCTGAACCAAGACCTGACCAACTGAAGCAACCCCGCATCATAGACCTTTGTGAAATCCAGGTGGCAACTTTTTTTGGCTGGGCCATGTATATGCTGTACATACGTTGCTGTTTTTATTTATTTATTTATCTGGTATCAATTCACAGCTTTGAAGGGGCTAATGTTCAGATGCAGTAGCTTATGTGCCTTTTTAAGCTTCATATTTCTATTGCAATAATATCTATATGCTATATCTACACTAACTGTACGGATATTATCACATAGCAGACAGGTCTGATCCAGCTCTTGTGTCAAGCTGGCACTGATGGCATGGCAAGTGGTTTTACAGCTGGATGTGGGCCAGGTCTGGAAATGATGGCACTGTTTGATGGCATGCCACAGCTGGCCCACTTGTAGTGTAGTTTGGTTTATTTGATGCTGACCCATGCATGGACCACCTCTGGCAGACCCCATCTAGGTCACCAAAGGGCCATTACTTTTTGCAAAATCTGGGCTGAGTGTTGGTGCCTTGTGTGGGCCAGAACTGGGCCGAATTTTTTTTTAGCTATGTAGGACCTGTTATTTTAAGCCATGACCCAAAGCTGTTACATACTAAAATGGTGTCACTTTAAAATGAATTCAGATCCAGTCAGTGTTGGCCAAATGTTTTTTTTTTCTTTAATTTGACTTGTTTGCCTTTTTTGAGTCTGTAGAGAAATTTCTGTCAAGAATTATTGTTAATAGACCCAAATTATTTAGTTTTTTTTTGGTAAACCCAGAGATAAGCTTCACTGACTTATTAAACTGCACAACACTCATTAGTTTTCTGTTAAATTCGTCAACGTAATTCAATACAATGTTTACATGTCATTTTCAAAAAGCACCAGCTGTATTCAAGACTGTACTTAAAAGTCTGGTTTTGCCAAATAAAGCGTAGAATAATTCTAATGTCTTTGGAAAATTGCCATACCTTCTAAGCTTCAATGAAATAGATTAATATATAAGATGTTAAATGAGTCATGCAGCCCTCATCATGTATTCAGATTTATCATGTGCAGATGATTTAATCCTGCTCATTTCCACAAAGCAGGAACTCTGTCTCAAATCTGCTGCATCATCATGTACTTGTAAAATAAAAACATTTGAAAGTGAGTGCGTTTTGTTTGTATTTTAAGGCGGTGGCTTTGTTGTCTCCTGATTTCTTCAGCCAATGATAATGGCTGAGCTGCGAGGTGAGGTGTCTTGTGACAGAGGGGGTGGAGGGTATTTGGAGGTAGCAGCTCAGCTCAGGCTAGTTTTCAGAGTGATTCTGTTATAAATTCTTTGGCAGGCTTTAATTACACATTCAATGAATTTCACCGATCTGATCGCAAGAAGGATTGTGAGGCAAATCCGACCCAGGCCGTTTCAGTATGTGCTTTTAAATCGGATATATATCTGATGTTTTCAAAGTGACTGCAGTGTGAACGCTCATGTCACATTCATCTGACTTTTTCATCAGGAAGGAGGGCTGAAGGAGCGTGAAGGCACTTCTGACGCACATTCTTAGTGCCTGGCTGCCACTCCCCCCCCTGCTGCCGCTCAGAGGAGCACGTTTCTTCAGTCAGGAGTTTATATCAAAAAGATGCAGCTTCTTCTTCTCTTGTTGACTTTCGGTAAGACATTTGAAACTTCACATGATTTTCAGTAACTGAATACGTCTTGGCGCACGAAAGGATCCATTTGTTATTTCAGCGCGGGGCGGATCACTGACAGATATTTAGCTTGAGCTCTTTTTTTTAAGGGTTGTGAATTCCTTTCTAACGAACAGAATGAATGGGATGTGTAACATTTTCAAACTTCTGAGCTGCAAAAACTTTTGATGCGTTCATTGTTGAGCTTTGTTTAGTGTTTGAGTTAGCCCGTTTCTCATTAGGTAACTGGAACAACTGCTGGACCGCTGCGTGGGTATTTTCATCATCCTTGTGCTGATGTTAGGCAGTGAATCAGCATATCACC